GTGTGCAAACATTGGGGATGGTGGTCGGCGACTGCAATTCGAGAGCGCGCGACAGTTTCTGTACCGACGCTATTTATGGAAACCCACGCTTCTTTATAATCGCGGTTTTTTCTCTTGAATATTCGTTTGTCGATTTTTTTTTTTTTTCAACGTGGTTTCGCAAGATATAAGCTTTTGACATGTTTACGAATTTCTGTGCCGCGTCTTTTTGTTATGTCGGTTACGCTCCGATTCGATGTTTGATTCGCTCAAACGAGAAAGGATTTGAAATTGTTCGAAAAAAAAAAAATACACAATCGTTTTATCTCTTTTCCGTTTGAATATTTAAGTAAGTCTGTCTCAAAAGCAGACGAGTATTCTCGATATTTGCAATTGATTCGCGATAATATTCCACATTTATGTTTGTTCTTCACGTAATTGTTTTTACTTCCGATAATTCCGCCGATTATATTCCGCTTGATCGATTGCGCGGGTATATTGTATATTTTTCCCTCGCGATGTGTTGCCTTATCATTGTAAACTGCCGCGGAGAAGCTGTCATTGCGGAATTGCGACTTGCAGGTATTATAGTTGCATTCAGTTTACGTTCATGCATTACGTATCGTCGCACTTAATGGTTTCTCTTCGAATTGCGCGATTTGCGCGCGCGCGCGCGCGCTCGCTGCGGAATCATCGTCATCTCGATGCTTTCTGTGTAATTACAATAGAGAATTGCTGATAATGTCGCAATTAGTTTCATGCGCGAGCAAGAAACGTTGAATGAGTGATACGGTAGTCGAACATTTATTCACTCAGGCGCAAATCGATAAGCTTTGACTTTATGTAAGGTGTTACAAACGCAAAAGTGAAAATGCAACGAATATGTATTATATGTGCGTAATTTTAAAGTAGAAAAAAATATTTAAAGTTTAAAAAATATTTTTTGTGTATAATTTTTAAGTAGGTAAAAAAGAAAAAAATATTTTAAGTGGATACTATTAAAAACATTAAGAAATATTTTATACAAAGCTTTGTTGTTAATTTTTTAGTGAATATACAAGATGACAAAATGTGATATCAAGAGAAGCAGGTAATGCCTCGCGTCATGTTTACGCGCTACGGAGTCGTCACGTGTCTTTAAAAACGTGACTAAAGTAAAGTCACGTGACTTTACTTTAGTCTCACGTGTTGTTTTTCCTCTTCTTCCTTTTGCGTGACTTTACTTAAATCACGTTTTTAAAGACACCAAGAATTACCGTGTGTAACACGTGCGGCGGTGTGAAGAAAAAAACTTGCAAAATAGTGCAGCAACAGCAGCAGCGTATAGAAATGCGGTATTGAGAATTAACAAAAGATATGTAAAATAAATTTACGTAATGGACATGTATATAAAACTACAAACATTATTTTATGAAGTAACTTAAGTAATGAATGCCATGTTGAATCGCCGTTGATATTCGATGTAAATTGTCTAATTTTCACTGCTATAAATAATACGAAATTATAATAAGAGTAATTATCAATTCAATCATTTATTTGCAATAAAATTAAGCTGAAATAATGACATGTACGTCCACATGTATATATAGCGTGAGCTCGATAACGTGAGCAAACACGCGTTTTGCGAACTCATAATTCGCCGTTTTATAGTGAATTATTACAATGAATCAGTACAATCTTGCAGTGAGAAACTAGAACCGACCGCAATTTCGCTGCGACGCGCAGTTGTTATAATTTGAGAGAACTTCGTTGAATAAATGAATTAATTGTTCTAAATATTAACGTCAAAATTAATGCGCGCATTAATATTTGATTGCAACTTCCGAGATAATTGCATCGCGAAATTTGCGCGAAAGCTGACAATGCACATGTAAATAATAGAAACTATAACGTAAACCACACACGAGAATCGGTCCGTCAGCATCTCGCTTGCTTGTTTGCGCCGTAAACAACTCGGTAAAACTGTCGAGATTCGTTCGGTCTTTCGGATTTATTAAAAATCTTTCGTATAACGTATATATTCGTTTTTTTATCTTACGTATAGCAATTAGTCGTTTATTAATTAATTTTCAATCGAAATACACTTTTCCATTTCAAACTCCCTTTTCTTGATAATCTCTCTGTTCAAATTTCGATTTAATTGCTTCGAATGTATTTGAACGCATTCGGTTTGATTAATCGCGGAGAGATATATAACTAGCCGATCGTTTTCCCTCCCTTCTCTTTTCGGAGCAAACCCTCGCTTCATAATGCGGGACAAGAAAGGACAATGAGAACGTGAACGCGTTTTCTAGAGAGAGCGCCTGTGCACGAGCAACGAATAATTAAACGTCAATCGCACGCCTACTCGTCGAGCGCAGGCTTAGAGTAGTGCCGCTGCCGCTTGCGCTGCCGCTTCTCATCTCGCTCATTTACCTGGTTATTTACCTGGCGCACATGCACCACCGGTAGCAGTAGCTATTACATAACGGTTGATATAACTGCGAACCCGTCACCCATTTAGAGCAATACGGCTGCATCGACTATCTCGCATCACGCGAAACATCGTATTGATATACCCTACACGAATAGCGCGACACGGGAGATCGCAAGATACGCTCGCTTTGGCAACAAGTCAGGACCGTGATAATAAACAGCTCACATGCACGCGCGTAAAATCTCCCAAAATGTTAAATTTCCTTTTATTGAAAAAAAATTTAACCGATTTGATTTTAGTTATTTGAAGTGTGACGACATTGAAAGTGAGCACAAAAGTGCAAGGTTTTTTTTTTATTGAAAATGTAAATGTGGACAATGTAAATTGAGAATGTAAATGTGAAACTCGTCACAATGAGAGAAAGCACACAAAGGGCCTAAAATACCGAGGTATAAAACGTGACAATAGGCGAGAGAGAGAGAGAGAGAGAGAGAGAGAAAGAGATGGGTAAACACTCCTGACAGAAGTGCGAGCGAGAAAGACAGTTCACTCTGAAGAGGAAGCGATGCGTGAAAGGACGAGACACGAAGAGAGAGAGAGAGACGAAATTTCCACCGAGTGGTTAAAAGATTAATGGCGTCGCGCAGTGCCGACAGCTGCTGATTAACTCGGATCCTATCGAAACGACTCGCGATTTGTTAATCCCTCGATTAACGTCGCATCAAAACCAGCCGAACCTGTTGCACTTGTTTCAGCGAGCGATTATTACATGTAATACAGCCATTTTCTCGAGAAATGTCTCTCTTCTTATTGTAATTAGCTCGATATATGTATGTATATACTACGTTAAGCAGAATTCTCAATGACGTCTCGCCGCGATCCTCCTTGACATTCACCGTGTTTGTCGCGTGTTTGTCCTTGAAGTTTTAAATTTTTTTGTTGCGTCTCGCGCATCTTGTGTCTGATGTTCTAAACGATATCGATAATCCTATATAAAAAAAGGGCATTTGGACCGAGAAGTGCGCGTTTTGGAGCCGAATGTATCGCATCTATTGTTGCCTCTTTTCCGCGTTGCCGATTGGTTGGTTGGTTGATCGAGTCGAATCAAATCGGTAAGATCGAGANAGTAAATAATGAAAAGCGATTTTGAGACAGTTCGTCGTATATGTAGAGAAAATTAAAAACGTAACTAAAGTCACGTGACAGGAAAAAGTAGAAAAACAACACGTGAAAATAACGTGACTGTAATTTATATTATATATAACATTAAATAATACATATTATACATATAATTTATTATATATTTATAATATTATAAATAATCAAAATAGACCCGCACAGCCTTAAACCACTGATCAAAGGTAGTAAATTTAATAAACAATTTTAATATTTATAATATTATACTTTATATTGTATTATATGTATTATATACATAGTACAGTAATGTCACTGACCTCGGCCGCGTGGCCTTGGCGGGGTCACTGACCTCGGCCGCGCGGCCTTGACAGGNCACTGACCTCGGCCGCGCGGCCTTGGTGGGGGGAGGGGTCACTGACCGCGGGCGCGCGGCCTTGGTGGGGGGGTCACTGACCTCGGCCGCGCGACTGCGGCGGTGTTACTGACTTCGGTTACGTGATTACGGTATATATATATATATATACATATATGCGTATGTGTGTGTACTATATATAGATATAGAATATTACATATAATATATATAATATTCTCTTTTTTACCCTTTTCCCTGTCACGTGTTGTTCTTCCACTTCTTTCTCTCACTATTTTTTGAGTTTGATTTTCATGCGTTATTTCTGACATTTCTCATATGTGTATTATATGGTTTATAAGACGTATACTTATACTATCTGTCATTGCGGTGGCAGGTTGTGTTTACTGACAACATGTTAAATAAAAATAACAATAGCGTGCGCGTAGCGCGCGTCTGAGTTGTGCTAGTCTTTAAAAATGAAATAACGATCAAGAGGCACGGTAGTGCCTCGCGCCAAGTATACGCGCACCGAAGTGACGCTCGAACTGCGCGAGCTGTGTGTGTGAACTCACTGTGCCTCCTATACGCTAAAATCAGGCATTTCAATAAAGAGAAGATTTTTAATCAGCCATTTTTTAATAACGAATGAACCGATCGACTTCTTTGTAGTCTCGTTCGATTCACGTTAAAAAAATTTTTAAAAAGTCAGTTCATGTCAGTTCACGAAGGGTTGAGTTTCTCTATCAAGTTTTGAAATGAATCTCTTATCGCGCAAACCGTAAAAGAAAATTACACAAGTACCTACTGTACTATATTAGTGCAATGCATCTAATCGATGATATATGTCTCGAGTTACCAAGTGGCTCGAGGGCGCAGCGAGAAGTCGATATATTTCAGAAACTGAATATGCAACGTTGAGATATCGCAAGCGTGGTATAGTAAATATATCAGCGATATCATATTTTGGACAACTTTGGCCTCTATTGAAGTTAGAATGTATATAAAGTTAGAGTGAATTTGAACTTTTCTCTCGAATTTCTCCGATTTCGGACCGCCGCCCGCCGCGAAAGTGCTCTCAGTTGATGACGGTAATTAGCGCTCTAATTATCTACTTACTTCTGTGACCTTTATCTGCGACCGGATCTCTCCTCAGCTTCACCCTCCTCTTCGCATTTATTCGCGGAGCTGAAAGTAGTAAACACACAGCAATTTTAAAATCTCAACTGCAATGATAGTAATTAACGTCGACTTGTTATACAAGTTGATAATATTAATCAAAAAATTTATATAAAAGTTAAGCGAATATAAGCGAGTGAATACAAAATTTAATGCGTAAGTATAAAAGTATATAAGTTGTAGAGTACGCTCGAATATATTTTTCGTCACTTATAAGAATTCTTGAATATCTCTGTACGCGCGAGAGAAATGAGTGTAATTCTGTCTTGTGTGTTTTGCGGTGGAAAATTCTGCTTAATAAAAATGCGCGACGATAAAAAAAAAAAAAAAAAAAAAAAGAACTTCGTCAGGCGAGGCGAGAAAAGCAAAAGTACGGTCGGGATTTGCGAGCCGGTTTCTTTCATATAATGCGGCCCCGTCAATTTCTGCTTGATGTAGCGTAAGGACGATTTTGACACTAACCCTCGATTGCATCCCTTCTGTGAACGATCCTTGTGTCACGACGAACGCCTCGAAAAAATTGGCTCGTCAATGATCCGCGGACAAATTTGAGATAGAAATAGACCTGTCTGCCCGGCAAAGTGAAATCGATGAATTTTTCATCTCTCTCTCTCTCTCTCTCTCTCTTTGGAAAAAAACGCGCAGATATATTTTTCAAGTACATAACAAATGAGAGACGGTTGAGTTTATTCGCTTTGATCGGAAAATAAATTCCTCACTCTGCGCTGTTTTTTTCTCAACTTATCTATTGCGATCTCTCTGCAAGTAAGATGCATTTTTTGCTTCAAAACACACATAAGAAATTAACGAAAAGCTGACGAGAAACGTTCAAGAAAATCGTAAAACGCGCGCGCAGTGAGAGATTAGTTAATCATATCTACTTCGAGTTTCAAGTCTGTTTAAATGAAAGAGAATTGTCAAACACGATTCTGTGTGAACTTCGTTAGTAGCTTGGCAGTGCGACGAGCTTGCGAATGTCGCGCGATTACTTAGCACAGAAGGTGTTTGATTATCTTTCCGCCGTCCACTTTTCCACTCGCTAGTTATCGCGTTTGTTAGCGAGCAACTTGATCTCACGTTAAGTAAGTCGAACACGGAGGCCGCGACTGGTATGTGTAAATGGAAACAGTAATAACAAGCTGCAACGTAATATTTATCAAGACGCGGGGAAAAGTTCTGATGACTACGACGTGCAAACTATTCGTTTAAAATTCATTTCTATTGTGTTTCTCTTCGACGATTTAACTTTTTATACTCAATTATAACACATAAATCGCAATAAAATAAAATAAACTCGATCATCAAAGTCGCTTGTATTTTACGCTCAAGCTGTTCCGAAAAAAGATGTTTAAACAAAAGTAATGATTTTATTGTCGGATAAAAATATGATTTAATGACTAATTTGCGGTACACATTTCTGGTCACATGTTTTTGTCACGAAAATTGCTTTTAATTTACGAGATATACGGCGAACACGTATATCGCATTTTTTTCTCTTTCAAAGATGAAAATACAAAATGACGTGACCCGCGCCAAAAACAAAACTAAAACCGACGTTTTCCTGTACAAACTGCGTCGTTCACCATCGTTTTTTTTTTCGCAGCGGCGAAACGTGCACATCCGTAAAATTACGCTCAATTACTTTTAGCTCGAAGAGACACGCGTTGTTTTCACACCAATCTTTTTTCTCTTTTGTTTTCCATCTCTCTTTTTTCGCTTCCATCCTCGAGTCTTTCTCGTTCCCTCTCGTGCGCAGCTTGTTGCATCGCGGTTTATCGGCAAGATAGACGAGATGGCGTAATCTGCCTTCCAATCGACGCGCCGTTAATGAACATGTAGACAGATCGCGATTTGCGTCTAGGCTCTTGTGTGTGGCGTGTCAGGTCGCGATAACTGCCGCAACTTGCAATCGATATGGGCGCACGGGAGGGTGCCGCTGCCTGCCGGGCGAGAAAAAATGAAAGCGAGTTTTTGCAGCCGTAACACGGTGACCCGCACGGTGAAGAGGAAAATACTGTCGTGTCGAACGGTCGCGCGATAAAATCTCCAGCAAAAACTGAACGTTGGAAGCGCTCCAACTGATCTTCTTGCGAAGATCTTCTCTTCGACTAATCCCTACATAGATGTAGGATGTTCTCATTAACGTGAAGGAGTGATAGTACTATTATGTGAAAATAATTTCCTTCGAAAGGATTATCGCAGTTGAGTAAATTTTGAATGACACTCTTGAGAGAGAGGACGTTATAGTTACATTTCTCATGAGATTCTGCATAAATAAATTAAGACCATCTACTATAAATCATTGTCCAACCTATTTCAAGAGACGCGATTTTCTTTAAATTTTGATTAAACATGACGGGAAAATGGACGCTTTTATCGGAAGGCTTAAAAACTGGGTCAGAGCTGTGTAATAAAAAGATACTGTATCGTGACCGAAGCAGTTACTCTCTCTCTCTTTCTCTTGCTCAGCTAATGGTGATAAAATCATTCGGCTAACAGTGCAGGAAAAATTACCGTGTAAGTCTTGTATACACGTTGCGCGATACCTTATCTCTCGTTTGTGTAAGAATATATTACGTTCATGAATATTATCTCTCTCTCTCTCTTTATTTACAAAGCGACGGAAGATTCTCCCGTGTAATGAACGACCGTCATATCATCGATCTTAGTATGTACGTACGTATGTATGTATCATAACGCCACTCCTCTGCGGAAAAGTGATTCTGTTGAAAGCGGCTATGCGCGCAAATTGTGTGCAAACCGAAGCGGACGTTCGATCGTGCTCGAATCACGTATCGCATAAGTCTAATTAACCCGAATGTCGTGTTATTACTGAACAAAGAGAGAGAGAGAGAGAGAGAAAGCGGAAGAGAGGGAGGGGGAGAGAGGGAGCGTTTCGTTTTCCCAAAGAGAATTAATTGCCGTTCGAACACGACACTTTAGGCCACTTGAGCGAATCGTGCGGATCCCAACCTATACCTGGTGACCTTCGAAATTAAATTCTCGATTCCTAATTAACGGGATTTTATCGCGAGACGAACGAGGACCAACGGGGGAATTAACTGAAACTGATGTTGTCCGCGGAATTGAATTAAACGTCCGACGAGCCTGAAGGCTCGATCGATCAAACGCGCTATCTACTTTCCGGCTATTTCTGTTTTTTTTTTCTGCAACGCTAACATTTGCACGCCCGTGGCGGAAAATTCCTGCGGATGCTCCCGTTTTTCTCGATAAGAACATAAAAACCGCTCGTGGAAACGCGCGATAAATCTTTCCCCCGTATCTTGACATTTACACATTTAAAATATCAAATATAAAACAGTTGAACAACTTGGTTATTTACGATAACATTTATTCTGAGAAAAAAATAATTAATGTTTGTCGCGCGTAAAAAAAAAAGTATAAATTGTTATATGTTGTAATTAATCATTTAGACTATTTCTGTGCTTTCTGCGTGTAAGAGCAAAAAGATACGATATAAAGAGAAATTGAGAGGTAGCAGGTAAAGATCAATGAAAAGAGAGAGAGAGAGAGAGGATGGCGGTAATCCTCGGAGAAGAGGATTAACTCACACGTACGTTCGTCGGAAATGTAAGGTTGAATGTAAGACTCACCAAGCTCGCTGTCGACGTCGTGAATGACTATCTTGATGCCCTCCCCGTCAACCAGACTACCTTGCCTCGGTAGTTCGCGTTCTTCAGCCGCGACTCTGCTAACTGGGGAAGCTCCTTTTGCCGCTCCTGGTTGGGCGGATGTCAATGCCCTTATCGCATTTATGTCGGGTCTGAAATACGTAAGAGATTCATATTATTAGTAGCACAGTATTTTCTAAAACAGCCATTTCTTCGTTTTGTAGATTTTTAATAATAATAATAGACGTAGCACAACGACTAAATTTACTTTTTATTTTATCGAAACAATTGTAGAACAGCTATTGATCAGGTGCTGAGAAATAGCGCGTTAAATCTTCTCGCACTTGTCTATAATTATTTATTTTATTTTGTCGCAATGTCTCGACTATTCTTATTGTTAGATCTCGCTTGATTTATTATTTTCTCAATCAAAAAATCTCTTACACGACCGTTCACGATTCACAGCAAGTAATAAATATCAGCGAAGTAGACTGCTCGATGTAAAAAAAAAAAATCTCTCAAATCCGTTTGGTATATCGTAAGCCGATTTAAAAGATTGATTATAACCATTATGCGGATTAGACGGATTTGAACTTTCGCGGATTAAACCACAAAATTGATATCGATCGGCCACACATCGGAGCACAAGTTCTGTTATTGCAAAACTATCTGAGAGAATAAGCAAGATAAGTTTAATAAACTTCACCGCCAATGCTCCGAGCGCAGGTCGAAAAATGTTACAACCGATATCGACTTTCAGCGTTCGTTTGCGAGAGAGTTTGCGATACTAAACTCTACTAAGAAATATTATTTTACGTGGTAAACATCGGTGGCAAACTGTGTGCGTTGCCTGAAAATAAACTTTAATATTTATTAAAGTAACGGATATTGAATATAATGTTTATGCCAAGCTTGGTTCGTGCGATATCGTTTTGCAAAAGATATTTTTCTACAATCATACTACGGAAATGAAATTAGACCGGTTTGTTGATAATTTGCAAAATTTCTTTTGCACAAATCTGGTGAATGTTAAATTGGATTTTTTTTTGTTTGTAAAGCGCGCATGAAAAATAAACATACAAATGTTTTTGCGAAACGAAGTTTTTACGTTGCGGCGAGATTTTCATGCACTCGCAATTGCGTTAAAGTTTTCGTTGCGCGACAAACGAACACTAAATTTAAATCCGTCGACGCGGTGCGTGACACTACAGACACAAATTACCGCCCTAATTCCGTGCCGTAAAGGGCAAGAAAATTCACGTTTGAGGTTCATAAAATAATCTCAGCCGCCGTAACCTAATCATACTAATCATCCACTCTATACAAAATATTCATACAAAAACAGTAGATAAGTAGGTAGCTTCGCGTTGGGAACATTAGCGTTGAATATGAGGGTCCGAGATTTTCGGTGTGTCTAACACACACGCAATCTTCATATAAGAAAACTTTAAATATCAACCCGACTTTCTATGCTTTCATGATTTTTTTCAAGTTTCCCTTGAAGATATTAGCAATTGTTTTTCACTTTTATTTACTTAAAAAAAGAAGAGAAAATAACTTTATATTTTTTTCTGAGAAAAAGCCATGAAATATTATATAGATGTCTTTGAAGTTGAACATCGTTCGATGTCATTTCTGTAAAAAGGAATTTCTATAAAAAGGCAGTTTTTATTAAAACAAAAGTTTCTTCTCTTTAAAAAGATGTCGTGTCTAATAGTTTGCAAAAAAATTTTTTATTAAGTTTAAAAAGATGTAGAATATTAACAATTTTTTGAAAAACAATTTTGATTTATTTGCGGAGAGATTTGTTATTTAAATGTGAGGAACGATTATGTGCTTTTGATATACAAACATGTGTTCGGAATAGCGTCAGAACACTGGTACACTGGTATCGAGTTCGGTGTATATACGAGCTCGTGGCTATGCTGCATCGAAAGTTATCGGCATAATCGCGCAAAAGTTTTCCGCATAGAGATGGAAACTCGAGCGATAGTTACGACGAAAGCATTCGCTTGTGCAAGGTAAGGATAAAGAATACCTATAAACTACAATTTCCACGGTTAACCCTTTTTACTACGTAAAAGGGCAGATGGAGAACAAATAAAAAAAGATCAAAGTTTACGCGTGAAGTTTGGACGTTCGAAGCATCCTGAAGAGCATTTTGTCTGCTTCTTAAAAGAAGAGAATACTTAATATTTTATTATAATTAAAACAGGGTAGTATATTTGTTATACTTGTGGTTTTATATCAGAGATTTTTTTCTTTATTTTATGTAAGAGTTTTTTTTTCTAAAACTCTCTCTTTTTTGAAAAGAAGAAATTTGTAAGTAAACGTTGAATGCGATATCTCATCGGAGATGACTTCACAAATTTATCGGAATGCTGTATTGTGTGCGATTTATTTATATCTCGGAGACTTAACCCCGGCTCTCTTTTTAGCAGAATTTCTGCAGAATCCGCTTCGCTCGGAAAACGTGACCGCGCAGTTCTCAGCGAGTTGACTTTGTAGGGAAGTTGGTTATACAAGTTCAGAATGTCTTTTTCGACTTGCTCCGGAACTAGGACGGGAATAAGAACCAGAAGGGTCGCCAAGTTACATGTCGGGACGCACGAGAGAAGGGTGTTTTCGGTTCTCGCGTTCGCTACTTTCAACATAAAAGTTACTCGCGCGATAAATAGAAATTCATAAGTCGATTCCTCACGAATAATTGTGCGCGATTCCCCGCGGCTGCGATGAACCGCATCACAAACGAAACTACGTATGTACATGTATATCTCTCGTCGTGTGTTGCGTGACGTTTATGTAACTACCCCAGCTCGTCGGGTCTTCCGTTTCTCTCGCAAATTGAAACTTGCAAATTCCGTCGAAGAGGCGGCGCGCACCCCGAGCGTTATTTCGCATTTTATGCGCAGCGTAGAAAAATCGAGAAAAAAAAAAAGAAGAAACGAGAGAAGGAAGGCGAGATGTGTCGAGATGACGAACAAGACAGATTTCAAACAAGCCGTGCAACTTTTAACGAGTCTCAAAAAAAAAAAAAAAACTTCTGCGACATTATTCCGGCGTGTGCTTCTTCTCCCAGTTAGTTTGGAACGGTTAGTAGATAGAAGAGAATTTTTTGTAGCTATTTGAGAAATTTTTCCGGCGCGCTCTTTGTACTTTTTCTATTTTTTCAATCTCGCGGTCCGGCGATCCTTTGAAGTAACGTAACACGATGAAACATCGATGTATTCTACAGAAAATATTCCTTTATGATCTTGCTCGTTTTTTAATCTTCGTCCTTCTTCTTTTGACGCTTCACTATCTTTAGGGTATTTATAATTGCGAAAATTCGTGGAAGTATCTGATAACAGCAGCAGTCATACATGTGTCGGATTTTCTCTCGGCGTATATGAGAAGATAAAATAAATGTTCTTTCATCTTTTGCGTTGGCATATAATTCTTCTTTCTTTCAACCGCGCGTTCATCGTGTAATATCGGTGCAAAAAGGTGCAATTTTTACCGCAAACGGTCGACCTTTGAAACGCGACTCTCAAACGTCAACGAAATTGTATCCTGCGTGCGTAAACGCACGAGTGACGTTTATTTTGGTGAAAATAAAAATACAACAGCCGCCGGCTGAATATTTTTGTGAATCGGGAGATTGAAAAATATATAGCAAACGATCTTATATATTTGATTTCTTCTTCCGATCCTTGCTCGTCTCGATGGAATGGGAAGTGCGTTTCGGATGAAAGTTTCACACAAATCTGTGAAAACGTCTAAATCGTTTCGCCGATGCGGAAATATCTATCCGATATTTCTCTCTTCCGTTTGATACTGTTTTCTCGTGTATTCAATCGAATACACAAATCGGAGTGTTTTTTTTTTTTTTTTTTTTATTATATCGTGGAGAAATATATATTCAATGTTTAAAACGTAAGTTAAGATCAAAATGTGTGCGCTCGTTTCAAATAACCACCCGACGACGGAGGAACAATAGCTGTGTGCGCAACAATTTAATGGAATTAAAAAAAATTGAAGTGTTTATACCGGACGTAAGCGCGGAAAGACCGGCAAATGAAATAAAACAACAAACAGAATTTAAAGAGGAAAATTTCACAAAGAACGTCGCAATTTAAGTGCAATTAAATATCCAGACATTTAATCTCGTAAAAGTAAATGCTTCTTTGTTGTAATTTGCTATTAAAATTTCTGGTTTTTTTTTTTTTAAATCATCAATAGAAAATCTGTATTTGGGATCAAATCCTACGATCAAACGCGCAGTAAAATGTCACGTGTCGTTTTAAAAGAAAGATCTCTTCTCTCTCTCTTTCTCTCTCTTTCTCGATTTTAAATGCGCGAGGTTAGCCGGGAACTAGGTGGAAATTTACAAGATCATATTCCTTTATGAGATTCTTCTCGTTCTTTTCATCGCAGCTCATAGCCACTCGTTAAAGAAGAATCGCTTAATTGCGCAGTACCATCACGATCTTCAGCGAAACGAAAGCTTTTCCTGGTCGTTTCGCCGAATGAGAATGAGCTGCGCGGCCGTATCGATTAGCGCATAGGTACTCGTCGGGAGAGAGGTTCACGGAAGAATAGAGTGTCCGCTTGTGTTTTTCGGTGTTATTCTCTTTATTAAGAAGTTCTCAGGAAGATTAACATTTTGAGAAGAAAGAAAACACGCGATCGCGATAAACGTAATCGATAGGAAACGTATCAAAATTTATTTGGTCGTTAAAAATTATTCTTGTTACGTTGAGATAAAATTCTTTTCTCAACTCGTAAATTTATATGTAATTTATAAAACTTGCTTATAGATAGATATAAAATCTTACTTATTAAAACTTATTAAATAAAAACATTAAAGTTTATATGGTGAGATAAAATTGAGAGAATTCCGTTAGAAGTTGCGTTAAATTGCAATTCTCTTCTCTCTCTCTCTCTCTCTCTCTCTCTCTCTCTCTTTCTCTCTGCTTTATTGTATAGCTGTTATCGCGAAACTCTCGAGTTGGGAGGATAAGCGCGGGATGGAATAATGAAACGCGATAATTATATTAAATTGCAGTTCTGTAAGTAAACAAATTAAAAAGTTTCGAAATCACAAAAAAATTATGTCGGTGTCTGAACTTCGCGGGAAATACAATAATTGCTCGGATGGGCCGTAAGTAAACAAAAATTAAAAACTTTTGCTGTAACGTTTGCTCGAGTAACGGGATGATGAGTGCGAATGAGAAAAAGAGAAAAACAGCGCCGAGACAAGTTATCAATTTTCTTTCGAGTTATCGCTTTACTTCGAGTTATCATCTCACTTCGCAAATAACAAACTTTACCGAGCGCCGAAAGTGAGAGAGATAAACGTTGACTGGCTCGGCGATGGAAAATATAACCAGTCAAGGCGTGCGATATTCGGCGGAATTACCGGGACGATTTACCCTGATTTCCGGTGGTTTGCCGAGATGACGATACCCTAGATCGTGGTTGACGCGGTAACACGGTTGCCCGATGCAAGGCATTCGAGGCACGACCAAATTTCGACGTGCTGCTCTGCAGCAAGGTCGCATTAAAGCGCAAGTGCGCTTCCACTCTAACGTCGCTCGTGCGACACATGTGTTCCGCCGATATAAGCTGACATAAGCTAGAAGGGAAACCGCGCTCGTTGTTTTAATTCCGGTAGCATCTGGTAGCTAGTGACTCTCGATTTAGAGCGCGATTTCGGGGGGGCCGCCGTGTCGCGTCGAAATCGAGGTCGACGTCGAATTGTGCCGCTTTAAGATAATGCGCATTGATCGCATCGAAGTAATCGACAAATCTCTTCGAAAACTCAAAATCGAATCGCTATTGTTTGAAAATCTTCGTTATATAAATACGATTGTTGACTCGGTTACAAGTGCTAACTCGAGCATGAGCTCGAGAAAAGAAAACTCGACGTGTCAATTAAAATTCACGCGGCGGTTCTATTTCTCTGATCCCCTTTCGGATTGTAAATAACGATTACACGAGATGATTCGTAATTCCGATCGGCTATCCGAATTTGTCATCTTCGGGTCTTTCCATTCAACCGGAAGTGACACCAGCAAGGGCGAGAGAGATCACGAGAGGGTTAAGCCAATTTCAAAGAAAAGAGCGATACATCACGCACGCACGCACACATACACGCGACGCTTTCACGAAAAAAATCTTTAGCTTTCTTCCATAAACGGCCTGTCCGAGAAATGATACTTTCTTGCTTCCGATGTCAGACCTCGACCCTTTCACGTACGAAGGAGGGTCGCACAATGCGGAGATCTTTACCGTAGCTATTACAGATTCACTGTGAAAGGGATCCGAGGTCTTTTGAGTCACCGACATAAAAAAAAAAAAAAGAAAAAAAAAAAGAGAAGAATCACTTCCTCAACAGGATTATACGACCCGTACGTTCTGCGCTGAAGGACAAAAAGAACGATGTGATGAATACTAAAATGCTTCTTTCAAAGCGAAACAAGCAAACAATAAAAATAAAACAAACAAACAAAACAACTAAATTACGTCGTACGCAAGAAGTATTTTAATTTAAATTTGCACGCGCGTTATGCGATATTGTTGTTATGAAGCGTGCTTTATATTGACGCATTTTCTCCGTGTGTGTTATCTATTTTAAGCATCGCGTTCTCCTCGAGCAGTTAATATTGCAAGCTTTTGCTGTATGTGCACTGTATTTTCGAGCAGATTCTATAGGGCGGAAAATTAAGCTCGCTGAAATTGATAACAGTTCCGAACTCGACTTTAGCGAGAACCGCAGATACTCGCGCACGGGTAAATGCACACTTAAATGGAAGATAGATAGAGAGAGAGAGAGAAGAAAAGGAGAGAAGCGAGGATGATGGGGTGGTATTAATTATTTCTCTAGTAGTAAACTCCGCTGTTTGCGATCCACTCGACTTCTTGCTCGCGATACGCGAGCAAATGTGCGCTCATAACACACAGTATACCGTACACGACGGCGAACAAGATGAAAAGAAAAAAGAACAACCGACCGCCGCCGCCGCCGGTAAATCGAGGCGCGGCTGAAAAAAAGTGGAGGAACGGAATCACGAACGAAGGGATCGATCTTCATTCTCGCTACGCCGATGATTATCAAAGGACGCTCTATATAAACGGAATTTTTCGCCAAAGTGAATCGATACTCCGTCCTAAAAAAAAAAAAAAAAGAAACTTAGGAGCGGTCCGCGCGCGCGTTTGGGAAACTAAATTTAGATAGGTAAATTCTCTCTTCCTGCTCGTTACTACGTAGCTACTAGTACGATTACAATCCAAAGAAACGACAACGGATCGTCTAGATGAGTTTACTCAGTTCGCTAAACTGTCGTCGGCGCAAAACGAACTTTAATGAGATGCAAATACTCAAGATGACGGCGCGCTGTTTTTCTCGTCAAATTAGATTTACTATAGATCGGTCGCGCGACAGACGGTATCTTGTTTTGAAATCTGAATTTATTTCACACGCGCCAAGATGTGTGACGCGCGCCAGAAAAATGTCAGACAAAAGTTCATCAAACATTTACACATTTCACTAATGATAATGATCTCATTATCGTTCTGAATAGAAAGTGCGCGTCGAACAAATTGTAAAGTAGTTTTACAGAGTCCTGCGATAATTAATACGTCATTGTTGTCAAAGAGACACAAACAAAAACAAGAGGAGGAAAAATTGGCTTCTTTTTCAGCAAGATGAGACAAAAGTTTGAATTACTTTTTTAAGAAGAGGAGCGAAATGTCAACCTCTCAGTGAAAAACTCTCGTGGGGAGTCGGATAGAAAATTTGCGAATATTTATGTACGTAAGAGTTGAGAAAATTAAAAAAACGCGAAGTTTGTTGAAATTCGCGAGTTGCGTCATTGCAAAAAGAAAAGAGTCATAACAAATAATTTACTTAACAAATATAATTTACTAATACCGTTTGCTGAAGAATATATAATATTCGCAAAATATAATTTTGATTTGTTATTAACGCCACGAGCTAATAAAAATAACAGCCGTTTAATAAAAATATAACAGTTCCGTTTGCGAAATGTGACTTACAATTGGGATCCTCTTCGTCGATTGCGCCTTTCCTCGTCGGGCACGAGGACGGGTTGTGGCACAGGTGACACTACCGCAGGTGACACCGGTGCCGAGTCGATCTTAATCATCTTCTCGTCGTCCACTGCAACTTCGTAGGGCATTACCGGCTTGACTGCACGGAATGAGGATCTGCGCGTTACGGGCCGATCCTCGGGTTCTCGGGCGCCTGCGAAGAAGCAAACGATCGACGACACTTTTAGGCCAACTGTATTATCCTTGGCATATTCAACGTGACGCATGTTCGAGCGATTAAATCGGCTTAGATATAACGAAGTCGCGTCGCTGATATAAATGGAAGTATAATTGAAAGAATACACAATGCGCGTAAATGGGGAATGTACGCGATAAAAGCGTTTAGAGATTAAAAAACTTTAAATACTTTACGCAAATATTTTTCACGTAATTGGAGCGAGATGGGATGAATATTGCAAACCCCGAAGTGAGTTGAATGAGTTATGCGTATTTAAATAAATTGAAACGAGAAAAGTGATTCACACGCGCGTGGAAATCAAATCAATAACAAAATAACCAGTACTCGACAGTTATTCGACAACAAACGCCTTAAAAGAGTTAAATATATTCGAAAGGAGCAAAATGCATTCCGAATTGTATATAATGCGCGAGTGCCAATGTTATTTCCTGCTGTAACACACAGAGTGCGAAGTATTCAGGCCCTAGTACATAGCATACAGATCATGTTGTATACGGAGCGTCCGAACATAATCGTGTACACTTGTGTTTAATATTAAAATTAACTTATTGGTTTTCTTAGATGTGATCCGAAAAAAAAGATTGAAAATTGATAATCGGATTTTCTCTTCTCTCTCTTTTTTNTTTTNTTTTNTTTTTTTTTTTTTTTTTTTTNATCACACTCTTTTATCTTCTTTTGTAAGAAAGTATAATTTAAGTCATCAAGCTTCTTCAAGATCGATAGTTGAAAACTTAAACAAGAAAATTTATATAAGGTAACTCCAATATTTGCGGCGCGCCGGGTTTTACGCCGGAAAAAATAGAAGACGTGGGGGTAAAAGGAGCGCGCGACCATTTTGTTGCGCGCGTACTTTTATGTTGTGTTGGTATTGTATTGTTGATTTCAGCTTTTTATTGTTAACGAAATCATGGTTTAGTCACGATTCGCAATTATTGATTACAAACACGTAAAATGTACTTAATGTAATTAAATTTAATTAATGTAATTAAAAATGTAAATGTAATTACTATAGAGTTTGTGCGAAAGACCTTGTGGCTATTCCGCGACACGTAATTATAAACGAATGTTAGAGGACGGAGTACAGCAAAATACAAGTATTATTATCTCCTTGTGCTTATCTTCTTGTGCTTATCTCTTTGTTCAAGTTTATGTCTTGCCACCTGTTGGAGATGTATGACATTTTCAACGTGTGAGATTTATGCCGCGGTCTGTATATCTTGACAAAATAATAATTTGCATTTGGAGTTTTTCGTTACGGTCACTGTGTACATCGCTGTACGTTTTTTCGCGCTTTCAAATCGACGCGACCATAGATTTTCTCGCGCAACCATCAAGCGGTTCTTCTTTGAAAAATTTCTCACGCGTATGCGGTTTTTCGATGCACACGGAAAATCGAAGTCGCCGATAAATGTTTGTTTTATCGTACATAGACGTCGGTCTTGCGCGGAGCATCTGACTGGGAAAACTTTCGTTTGTGCGTTACATCAAAACGAATATTCGAGAAGACCGGTGTAACACATCGGAGGCGGTGGCAAATGGAGATTTGAAAAGCACTCGGAGAATGTCGATCGACGCGTAGATGCGCGCGCGAGAGAGGACGAGTACCTTTGAAATCGCGTTACATCCGTAGATACTCTATGACGCGTCGGAAATAGTTCTACAGGAAGTTCGCTGCAAGTTCTCTCTGTGTGTATGACCTTTCGACGGGGAGAACGGGGTGGAGAAAAGGGTTGAATTTCCATGTTCGAGTTTGGTGCTTGTTCGGTGCTTCCGATGCGGACTGGCAATATGTGCGCGCGCGGAGAGGGCGTACGGTATTAAAGTTACACAAGTCATAGAGAGAACTGCAGATCTCGGGATTCGCGCGACACATGTCGGAACGGTACGCGCGACAGAATTGAAAACGCATGAAAACGGAGAAATATTCTGAATTCTAGTTTTCCCGAGCGATCGCTGTTTCGAATTTACGCCCGTTTTTCACAACATTTTTTAATTGCACTCTCTCGACAATAGTCAGTTATCAACAATTGAATGCGCGCAACATTACGAGAAAGTTTCGCTCTGAAAGAGAGACTTTTTTTTTCTTTTAGAAAACCGCGCGTCACAATATATATCCATTTTTGAGATACATATCTCGAAAAGCAACATCTGGATTATTCTCTCTCTCTCTCTCTCTCTCTCCCGATATATGAAAGTCACGGCTCGGAAATAGCGAATGAAAGAGATTTCTCCGTTGTATTCAGTGGGTGGCAAAGGTCGAGCGCGATACGGACGAAATCGCACAGACAAAAATACATTTAGCGAAAATCGGCTTACTCATTTCCTCTCAGCGCTGCTCTGCCTTTGATGACGAAATATCGGACATAGAGTACATCCGCATAATGGGGCGGAGTTGTACGGGCGGAACAGAGGGAAGCCGCGGACAGAGAACGAACAATGCGCACTGCGCAGGGTGGAGTTACCGCCGCTCGGCGAGGAGATCTATTCAATTATCTTGACAGCTTTTTACATCCTCAGGGCTTTTTACATGGCCTTCCTCTTGGAAGACAACTCCGTTTCTAACTTGCCATTGTTTCTAGCACGTTATAATACGATAAATGCGCAATATGCGCAGAGAAATCGGAGCAACCGATGTTGCCAGGTTGCCAATCGAAGAAGGGAGAAAATTTTGTTGGGAAAATTTTCTTCGCTGGAATCCAAGAGTTGCCAGCAGTTGCCGAAGTATCTCTTAGGGGAAGGGAGAAAAGAGGGCAAAATGCTTGGCGAGAAAATTGCAAGGAATTGTGCGCGTGTGCATACGATACACACATAGAATCAAATACGGATATATCAATAGAAAATCGTTTCAAAAAAACCTTTGACGGATGAGGTACGAAAATAGTTTCGATATTTCAGTAGGTGGAAAACATTGACTCGCTACAGCATCGCGCGTTTATTGTGTTTCCCGCGTATGTGAATGAATAGAGAAACGATATGTGCTATTTTTCTCTCTTGGCACACAGATATCCCAAAATAACGTAAAGCTATTTTTTTTTTTTTTTTGCGGAAAGCTATTTTTTTTACGAAAATATAAGAGTGCATTTTCCACACATTTTTTTTCGTATATAAATATCACGCACAATAGTTTTTATATTTGGAAACGAACGCGAAAAAGGAAAAAAAAATGCGTTGGTACGAGATTAAAGCGAATTAGAAAGAAATCAAGCTTCCTACTGTATTTATTGCAATGAAAAACAAACACACGTATTTTCTTTATGCACCTTGCGCCGAGATGGACGCTCTTTGCTGAGCGGCGGCGATGGCCATCGCGTTAAGCCCGCTACCTCCTGGTGCGGCGTAAACGTCGTAAGCGGACGCTCGTCTCGGTAACTGAACCGGAAGTCCTAGGCCGGTGTCGGGATGGGTGGGTTGCGCGCTACCTCCGCCCATCGCTGCCGCTGTTTTGATTTCGTCGTCGTACGATCTTTGCCTTGTCACGCGAGACTTACGACGGATCGTGCCGCCTCCGCGACGCGCGCGACGCCGAAGTTCCTCCTCGTCATCCAGATCGCCTTCTTGCTCTATAACTTCAACCGAAGAAAATCGAAACATCGCACGGTTTAACACACCGAGAGCAAGTTTTTGGAAGACATTGTAAATCCCGAACTGCGACGTGTGAAATAAAAATTTCGACTTACCGCCCGTCTGAGCCGGCATGACAATCCTCTGAGGGCTGGTCGCTCTTCCCCTGTCGGCAGCCTGATGGCGATCGGGTGAACCGCCCCGCGACTTGCTCTTCCGATCCAGATCGCGCTCCCATCTGAGCTCCTCTCTCTGACGTTCTCCTGCAACCTTTCGAAACTACAACATTACGATACGTAGATTAGGGCTCGATGCGGGAGACGTCACCACATGTAGGCTGTGAGTAAGGGCAGGGAAGAGTCACAGCGTCCCCAACAACACGACAGGGGCGAGGCGGGGGGTTGCAAGTACAAGATTAGGCAGCATGGATTGACACACCTAGAAGCTGACGATTAGATCAACGCACAGAGATCAGCTGTTACTAAGGGGCGGGGGAGGGAAGATTTATAGTGAGACCGAATCGGATTGCGCGATCGTGCTCGATTTAATTGAATGTTTGCGGAACTATTTATCTTTTCACAGATTTACTTACACGATACGCGCATAACGGATTAGCAAGTAATGTTTTTTGCGAGAACTTGCGATTTGTTTACATATATCTATGTTTTTTACATTATTTCGTTATGTTAATTTAAGAGTCAATCAAGATACGCTGTATCAAAAAAGAAACTATACATTAGCCGAGAAAATAGCGAGTTGTATTTCTCCAAAATGCAATAAATCGCTTCTTTGTTCGGTAGCACAACGTTAATCGATTCTGCGATGCAACTAAAATAGATTTGCAAACTGCAACAAAGACACTTCGCCCGAAAGCTCTAAGACCGATAAACTTCCCGTTGGTGGTGAAAGCTATAATAGCGCAAATCTCTCTCTCTCTCTCTCTCTCTCTCCCGGATACGCTTCCGAGCGTATCCGGGAGAGAGAGAGGAAGACCGCGCTTAAACACGGTTAGGAGCTCCTCGTGATAATAATGAAATGGCCACGTCCGAAAATTAACTTCGTCTGAGGTTTGTCACGCGATCTCGCGGCGCGGCATAATTACAAGTCGGCAACAATTAGAGCTACGAGCTAGGAGCGAAATGACGCGCGCGCGCGCGCGTACTCGCCATCGGCAAAGTTCGAGGGGTGGAGTTCGGGTATTAAGACTCCATTAGCGTTGGGATTTCGGAAGGGTCCAACGACTGATGCCGAGGCACGTCTTTCTCGCTCGCCGTCGCACGAGTTTCCGACGGATGGATGTTGGTGCACGAGAGACGCTTTCGTGCACCTGTCGCGCGCATAAATATTCACGATGACGCGGAACGCGCCCGAGCGTGCACCGGAAAAACGTCAATTTAACGCGACGATGATGACACGATCGCGCGAACACGTAGTATAGCAGCTCCCTCACGCTCGCAAAAAAACATTGCGATAATTTTTGTTTCTCGGTGCAACGCGCCACGTTGCAACCGCGCAGATACACGTCCTCGTAACCGCCAAGGTCCATTCGGCGAAACTGGGTCGTCCGTTCGCATTACGATGTTAGAACGGTGTCTCACGGTGTGTGTGTGTGTATCACCGGCGACTTTCACGGAGCGCAAAGCGCGCGTGTCACGAAGATGCATCGGATACTGCGCACGGTTGCGCATCACTCCGAGATGCTCAGCCCGGCAGTAAATTATCCAATAGCCAGAACGTCTAGATGCATGCGGATGCTTCAAACAGCGGTGCCGTTATGTAGGTCGCTTAGCGAGCATGAATCTAGCAAGCGCTAAATGCAATTTTAATCTGAACGCTCGTGTGTTTTCATAATCGCGTAAGACGCTAGCTTTGAACGATGCGAGCAAAGTTATTGTCGATCGAGGAAAAGCTTCAATCAAAGTTACGTTAATATCTAAATTAAAAATTTTCAATATTGTTTGTAACTTTTTCGGCGCGTTAATTGCGTGTAAACCAATGACGATTTTAATTGTCGCACGATTATCCCGACGTTAATCTTTGTAAATCGGTAATTATTTTTGCGTCGTCCTTTAAACGTCGCGATTGCATTTCCGTAATTTCGTCGTTCGCAGTCACTCCATTCCATCCATCATGCGGCCGTTTTAACTCGCTAGAAACCGTGACGTGCGAATGGCGTCGAAGTGAATTGATTCTCGAGATGGAAAAAGCGTCAACAGCAATTGTCGCGAGGAAGATAAACGCGCCGGATATACATGTGTGTGTGTGTGTGTGTGTGTTCATTTCTAAACGAGGCGTATCGCAAAAGTCTGACGATAAACTCCGTAATTAGCGCTTGTACTCGTAAATAGCGCACGTCTCTTCTTGGGTTTGTATACGCCTACGCGTGCGTAAATGCACGTAGGACATTGTGTCATTACGTCACGACAACTTCAACAAAGCGAATTTTACGACTTTGTGTCCGCCCTTTCGTGCCTTTGCCGTTCGGAATGACGCACATGTTTAATCGTCGAGAAAAATTACAGACGTAAATTTCTGACGTGTATTTAATAAAAAATTTTTTCGCGCACAAAGCAACTTGTTTGCAACTCGCGTTTGCAATGAGTTACTGTTCCGTTGTACGATCATAAGAATCTTCACAATTTGTATATTTTCCATTTTCTCTACTTCTTTCTCTGCCGATACGGCTCGCACGAGAGGGACACGTTCTTCTCTCATTTCAATTTCACTCCACTTTCTTTCGTTTCCGCAGTCGTTTCCCGCGCGCGCGCGCAGCCCCGATTATTCTGCCGAGCGACTAAAAACGACTGTCGATAAATTCTCTCAGAGTGAGGCGCGAGAGAGTTGCGTCTGCCGCGAACTTCTCGACTTGCAACAATAACTAAGTTCCCGTCTTCGTGTGGCACACAATCAATACATGTATAACCGAGGCTTCGCATAAATTCTTCTGAATATTGACTCGAGTAAATGTCACATCTTGTAAGCGAGATAAAATCGACGCAATGTGATAAAATAAACAAATTGTCAAACGTAGATGAATTTCAATCGATATCGCGAAATTGTAATTAATAAAGCGAAGGTATAAAGAAGAGCGAGAATTTTTGATGTTAATTAGCGATACAAAATTACACAAGGCGGCATGTTTTTTTTTTTTTTTTTTTTAATGATTTTGTGTTCTACCCGTTTCTCCAATTTGCAAGTGGAGAGAGCGACAATGATTCCTCTCCTCTCAAAGAAAAACGCATTTATGTACGATTTTTATTTTTACGACGCATTTCTCCGTCTCGGGTTCTTCGACGCGCCTCCGTTACGGAGGCCACGCGATAATTGCACATCCGATAATTGTCCGTCAGAGTGTTGAATAATGAGAAATCCTGACTGCACACACGTGCAACCGCGATGTGCCGGTATGCGCTCGTCGTTCGCGCTATGTACGTACAACGTGATATATATTTCCTCCCCGTTTGCGCGACAAGTGCACACGATCTCGGTGCGCAATGCGATCTCGAGAGTTCAGCGTCGACGGAAACGCACCTCGTTAAAGCCAATGCGTGATGAGAACGATCTGATCGAACAATTTATGATATTATCTCTCTCTCTATCTCTCTTCGATGAATTACCGCAAATTATCCGACGGACGTCTAAATAATAAAAAAGAGCGTGAAAAATAAATTGGTTCGTTCGGGCATCTGCATTTATTATCACGTCACGTTCATCCCGATGTTGTTGAAACGTTTTGTTCCGAGGTACTGAAATTTTAAAAACTTCGTCGAATTTGAAGCGGAATTCAGTCAATATTTGCGATTATCAATTTATCATAGTATTCCTCGCGCGCGCGCGCTAGGAAAAAATATTAAAATAATTCTATTAAAGTTTTGATAAATATTGAAATACAATTTATATATATATATACACATTTTCCTGCATAAATGTCGCGTGAAAATCTCAATGGGATTGACATTACGATACGAGAGTCAAAGCGTCGCGTCATCAGCGCTGTGCGAAAACGAGGGCAAAACTGGAAAAGTCACGCTCGAGATCGACTTCTTTTTTCGATCGTGTAATCGCAATGGAATAATTCGAGATTGCATTCTTCGTCTCTCGGGCTACACGGGCGACCTGCGCTTTGTTGCATATTGCAGCGACGTGGAAGAATCTCAGCGAGTTGTATGAAGTATGCATCTGAGGTAACAGCAAAGTGTGTAGCTTGAAGCGTTGAAGCGGACATTCAAAGCACGTTATACGTTGACTCGTTTCGCAGCGGTAATTCAGCAAACCCTAATTTCAAACATAGCTACCGCACTGCGACGTTTTCGAGGTGTAACGACATATATATATATATATATCTTAGGATGCTGAATTATTCAGTCCGGTTGTGGGGGAGAAAAGGAAATCTCGTGCGATGGTATAAATCGTGAATAATAACAACATCAAAAGCCAGTCAAATGACGTGATGCGCACGTAAAGGGTGGCCTTTTTCTTGCTAATTTTTGGAAAATGTTTAATCGTGTCAATTTCAATATTTCAATACATCATCGCAAGAAGATATCAATTTTGTTGTGTTACATCTTGTTAATTGAGAAAAAACGTATTAAAAAATTAACTATATCTTAGTTTACGATTATATTGACAGGGTATAGTGCAAAATGTGCACACTGTGTTGCAAACAACATAAGTTTGAAATGTGTGCGTTTCTGTCGAAAAGCGCGATTAGCGCGGATCAAGTTCTTCTCGCTTACCTTCTCAAGTTCCTTGAGACTAGCCGGCGAGACGTCGGAATGTCTTCGAATTTCCGGACTTCGCGGCGGAGCCAGTCCACTTCCGAGAGCGCCAATTTGACTTCCGGTGGGACCGAGCCGAGCGTCGCTGTGCCTTCTCTGAAGAGCTTCCAGAATCGGCACATCAAGCAGCGAATCTGTGGATTCTTGCGTTACGATCGGCTGATCCCTCGAGGCGATCTTTCGACGACAAACGCTACATCGCCAAGAAGACTGCAACGTTTCCGGAAATGAAATTTTATTCGTCATTTTATCGCTATTTTTGAGATAGGAAATTTCACAACGTTGTTTTTGACAGTTACATGAGCGTGTTGAGAGTTAAATAAATTATTAATTTTGCAGAAATACACAAAATTCTGTTTTGCGTGATGTTTATTTTAATAAACAGAATTAAACCTTTAAATGCGAGTGGAAGTATAAATATTGCTAGTTTTAATTATCTTGCAAATGTAACACGCAATATTTGTGTAATCATATTATATTCGCAACTTGTATGTATGTGATTTTCAAATCATATTTATATACGCAAGTATAATATGCAAGTCTAATAGCAAAGTTCGCGCTTGAAAGCAACATTTAATCTCTCTTTTCGCGCTCGTAAAAAGTAAGGCGAGCGCGCAAAACGCGCAAATCTGAAAATTTATTAAATGGATGCGTTTCCATCATATTTATACACGCTGATTTAACTCGCGATTTCCGCGTGACTCTGATGAAATATTAGGAAAACGTATATACAATTTCAACACAAATTCAAGTTACAGCGCGCAAGATATGTCGCGAATTGGGGATGAATGGACTACAGAAATGATTACGCACATTCTCAACCGAAGTTGGGGTTACCCGCAGGAATGTCGACGCAAGAGCATACCGCGCGCGTTCATTGTATATATATAATACGTCGCGAGATTAAATGTCATATGTCGATCGGTCACAAGCGTTTCTCGAAATTATCATCAACTACGTATGTAATTAGAATTAAGCGCGCGCACGGGCTCGAGTATATATATCGCTAAATATCAAAGGGCCAAACGTCTCGTCACTCGGCGAAATCGATTAATCCTCCGCGTGATTAAGCGCACGGTGGCGACATGGAGAAAATTGCGAATAAATTTTCATCAGGTTTCCTTCCTTCTCGCGTTTATGATAATTTAAACGCGAAAGCTCGGATGAGCCGCGAAAATAACAAAGCGGTCGTGTAGAGCGAAGTTAGTTTTCGCTTTCTCTCTCTCTTTGTCGAGATTCATGGATTTAATTATTGTCGCGAAACGTGATGGTTCGAAAGACGCGCGTAATTGCTTCAATAGTTTCGTGAAAAACATTCGAGACCGTCTATCCCCGAGGGGTGAAAGATTTAGTAAGTTTCCATGGTAATTTTCTGCGAAGCACGTTTATGGCAACGGTAGGCAGAAATTTTCTCCGTAAATGGCAACATTCAAGCAAGACGGGCGAGAAGTGAAAATTAGCGAGCTACGTGGAGGTGAACGTGATTCGTGGGTGCGTTGGCGTTATAGGCTCGGCATTAAAGGACTTCCGTTCGTTCGTGTCACCTTCGGCTTTTCTTGTCACTTACATAACGCGGCTGTCAATTAACATTTCCTTTCAAATCTGCTTTTATTGAATATATAAACAACGCGATTATCGTTCGTAATCAATTTAAGAAAGATTACAAGCACAACCAATCGGTGTATCAACGAAATGAAATATTTAAGCGCATCATTTTCATTTTTCTTTTATAATTGCAGAATAAATACACATTTAAACGAGCGCAACGACAAAATGTCACAATTACAATTGCAACGTTACAATAGCGAAATTAGATTTGCGCGTTTGAGTTTGACCTTTGTTCTTCTCCGTTACGCCGACGCCTTCTCGTGTTTTTCCTTCATCCGTTTCGGCAATTAATTTGCGCATTGTCCGACCTTCGTTTTACGACAATATTTACCGACGGAAAACAATGAACAAGCCGGTTAATTAGAGAAATGGAGACGTGCAAACTCACCGGGTCGTCGGAATTCGTTGTCGTCGAATACGAGGCGCAGTCCTCGCAGACCTTATGTTGACACTCGCAACAAGTTCGCGAGACTTCCTCGGGGCCGAAGGACTTTCGACATACCCTGCATTCTTCTCCGCTGCTTTGTTTGCCGCCCGTTTCCTTTCTGAAACAGTAGGGCCCGGTGAAATTTGTTAATTAGCTTGGTTTTTGGTCGCGTTTATTCCCCCTCCCCCCCCCCAAATACGTACTTGAGATCATTAGCAATCAGCGAAGTTTTCACAAGTTTTATGTACATATATGCGTATGATAATGAATATAAAATAAAATAACATAAATATTTTATTTATGTACAGATACTTCGTGTAACATCTATAGATATATAATTAAATATATGTATATATATATTTTATTATAATAAAATATACATATCATTTATATTATAAT